TAACGTTCGCCTGTTACATTTTATACGCAAAACCGACGGAATTCTTCACCAGACAAATTGCATCGTCATCGCGCTGTGAAGTCGTCGTTGTGAAAATTTATAATATTTGCGCACGTTACATATTATAATTATTGTATATTTTAGAAATATACACTGTATATTTAAAGCAAATATATTTTTGAAAATTATATGATTTTATTAATATATAATAATATAATTAATAGATTGATATATTACGTAATTAATGTATTACGTGAAAAATTATTAAAATTATCAGCTTATCTAGAAAAATATTTGTCAACTAATAATAAGTGAAGTAATGGCTACTATCACACGTAACATATAACATCTGCATTCTGATAAATTACAAATTTAAATGTGACGTGTAGATATTATGTACAACAATTATTACGGATCTTTACTTACTTGATGAATATTTTCTTAGATAAACTAATAATTGTATAATAGTTAGTTTCTTACCTAGTTTCTGACTTTATGTAAATATTGCATAAGTATATGTTATTTATTATATTTATTATCTTCAATCTCTAACTTTTATTCACACATATTTTAATTATTAATTGTTAAAAATGTAAATAGTTTGGAATTTAATTTTATATTTGAGAAAAATGTGAGAAACATGGTACATCAGAATATTTATATAAGAATTATTAAAATATATTTTGTGCGAATTGTGTCGTCAAATCAATGTTATACTCGTTTTATCAAGTAAGAATACTTGAATAATTATTATGTACTGTTAAGCATGTTACGTAAGTAAGCACTGCCTTTGCGTTAATAGTTATTTACGATGTGAAATAACTACTTGTAAACGAACAAGCTAATTAAGAATGCAAAAAATGAGCAACGAAGCGAGAATAATCTTTATTCTCATGTGTCTTGAATGACTAAGCAATATTTAAAACTTAACGCTAGAGTTTGAATAATTATGGACTAAGATATAATAAATGGCATATTACATTTATGGCACGTTACATTTATTTACTGAAAGGATTTGCATTTTCAGTTAAAATCATAATTTGCATTTTAATTTAAAGAGATCTTAAACAGGGATTTGCGTTTTCATAATATTTTTTAAGATATTTATACGATTTGGAAGTTAAATTGTAATATCTTGAAGGATATAAATTTAATGAAATTTCACACATTTTTCACACGGTTGTGAGTCTTCGAAATTCCAAAGAGACCGGTCTCAAGAATACATCTTATCGCTCACGCCCCGGGTTTTCGCTAAGATCTTTCATGTAAATACTTAGGACGAGAGGTTCTTCTCTCCATGAAAGTGATATAGAAGCTTCACAAGACCTATCTCGATAACGGTATAATACTAGCGGTCACGAAGTAAGAGGCAATCGAGAAGTCGACAAAATAGAATCGCTTGATATGAGATTTATTTTCCTTTTATATATTGATTATGGGTATCATAATGCTATTTCTAGCAACAGTAATTCGTGATTTATTTAACGGATGGATTTTTATTCTTGTTAACGTAAAAATCACACAATTTTGGAGAAATATGAAATGTAAAATTGTTTATAAATAAGTAATTTAATTAATTTACGCGTCATGCATTAGATTGTTTAAAACGATTCCTTTAAATTGCCCAGAAATATCTTTTTTTTATATGAGTACACGCTATTACAAGGAGAGAATTTTCTTTTAAAATTTACCTTGAAAATATGGTATAATTGTGATACAATACAATATTTTAAAGATTTTTACCTTGCACTTCAATAAAATTGATCAAATTTATTTTATACTTTATTGTAGTTTTATTAATGAATAAGAGAGATTTACTTTAAAATTCTTCGAAATACAATGTTGTCCCACGACTGTCATATTTTCAAAGTAAGTTCTAAGAAAAAATTCTCTCCGTGTAGAAAATTTACTTTCGATCTTACACTGTAAAAAGTGCAGTGTTTAAAATGTTTATGTTTGAAACATTTTTGTAAAACAAATATTTAATACTAAAAAATATTTCAATTTTAAACGTTTTTAGTGTTTTAAATTTAAATACAGTGTTTCGTTTGTATTGAAAAAGTTTAAAACTAAAATATTTTTAAGTCAAGAATAAAACATTTTAATATCTTCAAATTAAACATTTCTTTTCTTAGTATTATTTGAAGAAAATTATTTTTTAGTTCTGAGAAAACGAGCTCGGTTGGAAAGAACGACGTTATAATATGACAAGAATATTAAATGTGTTAAAAGTAATTTCAAGTATAAAGTATTAGAATAAGAAGTCCCATCTTATTCCTTTGTTCTTTGCTATATATTCATTATGGTACTATTCGAGAAACCTTTAGTACGTAACTCTTTTCGCATCGTCATGTACGTCCAATATGCACTTTAGATATTGGAAATTCCGTATGGTGCGCTACTCTCGCATGACTGGCAAGTGCGCATCGTCAACAATACTCCATGCATGAAATCTGAATGGTATCTATAGCGTATGATAGAGGATCGTAACACAAAACCCTCTTGTCTTGGTGTCTCTAGGGTGGATTATATACCGGATGCGTCTCCGTAATCGGCTTCCACGATACGCGTCTGTCATCCGTTCGTTGATAGCGCGCACGCGACGAGGGTCGATGAGGACCATCGTATAAACTTTTCGAAAGGTTTTGTCTTGCGGTGTACAAAACACTCGAGTGCCTCTCGTATCTTTGATCGAGAAGATGTGCTTGCTATTCATGACAACGGTCGCCTGTGTCGAACTGTGGACAACTTATACACTGTTAGATACCAAAGGTGCAATGAGAACTCAATCTCTTGAACCAAAAATGGCATTTTGTTATTTTTTACTTCCATGTGCGTTAAAATATAAATCAATATATTTCTGTTATTCAATATAAAGTTTCAATATAAACAATATATATTTATATAACATATTCAGAAAATAATAGGTAAGATTTTTGAGTCAAATTTAGTATTTATGTTTTCTTAAATTAAAATGTTTAATTCCATTATTTTAATTAAATTAATGACATATTGAGTAAAAATAGTAATGACCTATAGAAATGTTTAAAAATAATTCAAATTGGGTCTAATTTGGCATTATAAATTTTATAGTGTAATTTTATATCACTAAGAGGGTAGCGAGGAAATAGACAAATTAGTTATTATGAAGTGTGAAAGATGTTCATTAAAATGTCATTTACTCTAAAAAATTGTACGATAAAGTTGTTTTTAACTAAAACAATTTTTCATACAGAATTTTATTATTTTCTAAAAACACGATCTTGGGACTCTCTTTTTAACTCATTACTTATGTAGGGTCAATGACATCTCGACTTTATAAATTCGTTAAATGTGAATGTTCTTTTTTATACACATTACATTTAGTACGAATTATTTTACAATTAAAAACTTTTTTGCATTTATCTTTATTTAAGGGACATATAAAATAGTATCAAGTTTAATTTCAATTAAAGGGAGCAATGAATATTCAAATATGATGTTAGGCTGTTGGAAACATCTCGCACGATTAATTACATTAAAAAAGCTACGAGCAATGTATAGGATTAATCATCTTATTATTTTATTATTTGTTAATGCAACATTTTTGTTTTTAATTTTGTAAATAATTTTAAAGAAGGGCTCTAAAGAGAGATAAATTTTGAAAGTGAAACACGCATTGCGCATATCATCGTGGGATCAGGATGCATTGTTACTGTTCACTTTAATATCTCAACGAAGCATGGTCTAAATGAAAGGGATGTCCTGAATGCCTGCCGAATACGAAACAATGTCCGTCGAGAATACAAAATGAGAGAGTCGTGTACATAATATAATAGTAATTTTGCTACAATTGTTTGTTATAAACTACATTTTGTTACTAAACTTATCTAGAAAACACGAGAATTGCAAATCCCACGGGTGTCTCCGAGATAGAACTGCTTGTTCGACCGTCCATCAAATAATGAGCATCTTTTATTGCAGTAAAAGTGACTTATATCATTTACCACGTCGTCACGTGTGAACTATACGTCAGTCCGTAAATTGATATAAGGACATGTATAACCGTGCGATATGAAAGCTTCTTTATTGCCCCATTCTCATCCCTATGACGTTCATACGTCTTTCTTCATACCGCTCGCGCACAAGGATCATTTTGCTAGTATGGCGCCAGAACGAGAATATTCTCCTTAATACCTTCTTCTCCTTTAGCTATACTCAGCGCTTGGTCTATTATCGAATTTCCGTACGTATAATAACAAGCTCGCTATTCATAAAGAGATCCTGAAGAAGCAAATACAAAATATACATAAAGGCATTATGTAACTCAGCTTTTGAGAAATAAATTAATAATTATTACGCAACATATTTTCTAAAGTGATTGCGTTGAAAAATTTCACTAGTTCACAAATTTTTAATAATTTTTAGTTCAAGAAAACGAAACAACTTTTTAAAATGTATTTTATAATTTCGACTTCGAATTCTCTCTGCCACCCGAAATCATGTCGAATTTTTGATATAATTAATTTCAAGATATAGCATTTCTTTTCAAATAATTTAAGTATGACAAATACTGAACAAAACGAACGTTTCCAAATTTTAAATAATTCAGTATCATGACCAAGAATATTGGAACGAAAATACGCTAGGCGATTACTGCTGGACTTTATTACGTGAAACTGATCCAAAGTCATATAACGAAACAAAAATGAAATGTTCAACTTCTGATTTAATTTCCTATTTTAATAAAAACTTCATTCTATATGTTTCTTGCAAGAAATGTATTTTCTTGTATCTCAGAAATTAACTCGAAAATCTTTCGATGGCAGATTCGGATTCAGCGTTGAAATAATTACCTTAGAAACATCTTCATATGTTTTTCCACAAAACCCTATTTGCGAAATCTAATGTTATCGGCGATATTGCTATAATAGCAAATAAGTAATGAAAAAACGGATAATTCAAGTTTTTTTATTTCTTTTACAGATGTCACCGTCCAAGAGATAGTCTTTTTTCGTGGAGCTCCGGCTTCGATAACTTCACGGGATTCGTCAATTGGGGCTTCTTATTACTAGGTATTGGTGGTATCAGGTTACTGCTTGAAAATTTCATAAAGTGAGTATCTCGAATTGTAATAATACTTTTTTTGTAACTAATAGACGTGGTAGATTTTATTGGGTCATATATATTCCCGATGATGGATTTGTCAATAATAAACGCTCGAGTGTATCATATAGTACACAATAATGTCGACTATTCAATCAACGGAAATGATATTAATTGTTTTTATTAGCACAATGAAAATGAATTATATTATCTGACCTATAATAATAAATTATCTATACTTACAAAATTGTATAAAATATAAATTATGATGAATTAAAAAATTAACTTATCATTAATAAGACTTGTCATAAAAAACATTTTGTATTGTATTATTATTTATATTAGGGATATTTTTTAATTTCTCAAAAAGGTCAGTGAAAGTCTTTGATTATTTGTATTTAAAATGAGTGAAAAATCTTTGAATGAGGAGCTAAATGTTGGATTGATTGAATTATTGAATTCGCTGATCTTAATAACATAAAAAAATATTTTATATTAAAGGATATAAGTAAAATAGTGATCTTTCACTTATCTATTCTACCTAGATATTAATATATGAATTTAGTTGAATATGAATTTAGTTTTCACTTTTATTTTTTTATTACAATTAGTTTTTCTTGAATATTTATTGCACTATTCCTCACAGAAACGTATACATGATGAAAAATGTATGAACGCTTATAATGTTTTGAATTTTGATCTGTGGATTGTTAAATAATCATGTGGTCATCACTCTCAATCAGTCACTTTCGAGGGAGTGAAAAAAAGAAAGTTCTAACAAGTAATAGAATACCATCAAGAAGTTTTTATTGCCTTACCAGAATGAGAAGAGGGAGTTTTTGCATAGGATGACAGCTAATGGGGATAGGGAACTAAAAGCCTATCAAAAGTGTCTTTATTGGTTTGATGGATGCACTACCGTAATAATTTCTGGGATACAAAAAAAAAATCGATTGCCAGTAGGCAAGCAAAATTGAGTTTGTAGCTATAACTATAACGGTGTAATTGTTCCCTAATCTTCAGGAGTAATTACAGATCGTGTAAGTGCATATTATTTGCTTGGCAAACGTTGTTGGAACATGACAGATTGTCAACCGATAAGGTTGCATGATCTGATTTTAATGCGCTCGTATTTCATCGCAAACACGCTATGGATGGAAACAAATTTGATACCTTTAAAAAACTGGGCACTGCCATTGTTGCGATAGATACATATATGAGTATGTCATTCGATCTCTGATTCAGTGAGGTTCGTAATGAGAAAGATGAAAAACAAAAAATGGCACACAGCAAAAGATCGAAATGTTATTTGTCCGATATATGTATACAGACTGCTAAACTTTTGACGAGATTCGAAGTTGTATATTTTTGGTTTAAGATGTATAATATTTGCAAGATAAGTTAAAGCGAGCCACAGCAATGTCGCAAAGAGAGAGAGAGAGAGAGAGAGAGAGAGAGAGAGAGAGAGAGAGAGATGTTTTAATTATATATAAATTCTATTATATATCGAGCGACATAATTTATGCTTATCATTTCGATAATTTAATTTATTTCAGCACTTGTTGAAATTTATGTACTTTTTAATACAAATTATTTGATTAACTTATCAATATTGTATAGACAGTTACTTTTGCGATACGCTGCCAGTGAGAGAAAGAAAGGAGAGTACGAATAATAGCAAATTAATTTAAGGGTGACAAAGTGAAACGGAACTAACCGCGCGCGCGCGCGTTCTTTGCCTTTTTCAATTGAATTAGCTTGTAGCGATGGCCACGAACCAGTACTCACGAATTCAATGTTCAAATAATTGATGCTTAAATATTTTTTATACTCTATTTGTAAAGCTGCATCTTGATGTAAAATATCAATAATAAATTAGGTTGAATCACAAAATCGCATTGTCAGAACTAATTATTTTCTTACGTGCATTGATATACTATTGCTAGACGCGCGCTGCTTGCAGAATATTGTGCTCAGAGGAGTAAGTTAGCTACCTTCTTCTTCCAAGGGCAAGAGAGAAGCGTAAGCGTTGTCCATGAATAATTTCAACGAGATTTTTATCGCTGTTGTAAACTCTCGGCCTCGCGTCCGGCCGCTCCTGAGGGCGCGTAACAGAAATTTATCACGCTCGTTAAGCGTAGAAAAACTTTCGAGCGAACTTTTGCGACGTAATTGCTCGAGGTAGCCCCGACACGCGCTTCATACGAGACCGAAACAAGCGCAGCTACGAACGGCCGTAAGCGATTATGCCCGAGTCCAAAGCATTTTAGCATTCGATTGATGCCTTTAATTTGCTACACTGAAAAAATTTACTAAAGTCTTAGTAATATTTCTTTGAATAGTGATAAATGAACATTTACTTACAGTAAATAAATGTTTATTCAATGAAACAAATTATAGAACTATAAATTAAATCACATTACTAGTTTCTGTATCGAATAAATATGTTTACATTTTGTAAATATTTATTTATTGTTAAAACTATATTAAACAAATATTTATTAAAATTTAGTATTGTTTTTCAGTGCTGCTTAGATAATCCAGTTTCACAATGAGTAATATTTAAAAATTATATTTGTACAATGGATAAATACAATATATATTTTGGGAGCAGTTAGTTTAATATGATGTTTTGATGAATTGAATAATTAATAAGAATCTTGCATCAATCTTTATCTTGGACGTGGAGAATGAATGTTTGGATTCGTAATTTAGATAGATATCTTTAGAGCTATATATGTATATCTAATAGTGTAGCGATACATTTCCAATTAATACGTACGTCGCGTTTCAACGCGCTGTGTATGATGTAATGTTCAATCGGCCAGATAATTTCGCGTATAATCGTGTCACCGCTTAATTAACTTATCGGCACTTCCGAATGAACACTTCGAAGAAATCGTAACCATTTAACGCAGTCGGCGTTCTCGACTGATTCGTTTCAGCCGGTAAAAAGACTTTTCCAGACTTGATTCGCGAAGAACAAGAGCAAGCGACAGCCGAATCGCGAGGATGAGACTGTCGACACGATTTTGCTGGGATCGAGATTAATCGATGGGATGAGGGTGGGAAAGGGAAAAGAGTAGATTGGCGACTGAAAAAAAGCACGTCGGTAAGAAAACGGGTAGATGCTTCTCTGCGAAGTGAAAAAAGGCAGCGAGAGAGCTCAATTAATCGAACTCTCGACGAAAGACTCGCTATCGATAAAAGTCCGCGGAGGTGGGTAAAGGAAGTTACTGAAGTTTCTGATGCCTTGTCTTTCGTATCCATTGTGCGGATTGTTCGTAAAACTTTTTCAGAAATTTTCCATGCAATTATAATTTATGCAATTTGAGATACGAATATGCGTTTATTTCAAGGCACGATTTCGTCGATCTCGGATTATTTTCTCTACATTTTCACGACTTAGTTCTTAATATAAGAGAGTGTGCAGGAATTATTAAATCTCTCTCTTGGAAAATTGTTATACTTCTTGCGGTTATAAATGGAGCGACAAATAAGAAGAGATGGATAAGACAAACGAGTAAAGTAGGACAATTAATTTGTTTTCTTGGTCTTCAAAGCTCTGCTGAAATTTGTAGGAATTATAAATATTTTTATGTCCAATTTGTGTAATGGAAAGATACATGAATTTGTTTTTTTTTTTGTCGCGTAATCAAATTTTCTCGAAGCACTAAAAATAAAGACTAATATTATTGAACTCCAGTCGTGGCATAACATATTAAAAATCGATTTGTGATTTTTCAAATATTGACATTGTCTCAACAATAATTATATTGTCTTGCTTTATCAGCTATTTTTACAAAAACTTTTGCGTTGTATCAGAATATAGAACTTGTTGATTGTTTTTATCTGGATTATAGAGTTCTGTAATTATTTATTACAACGTAGAAAGAATTAACGTTACTGGAAATTTGATAGTTCTCAATATTGAATATTTGGTTTCGCACATTGTACGCATGATATTTTTTTTTTAGATAAATCAATATTGAGAAGAAAATAGCGAGGGGCAAAATGAAGAGATAAATTGATTTGTAAGAAAAGAATAGAGATGCTATATATATAAGTAATAATGGATTTATTAAAACGTATGGAATATGATATATGAGAAATCATTAATAATGTCATATTTTAAATAAATTGTTATTTAGAAAAGACCGTTAATAATTCCATTTTATCCGGATATAAATATTTAAATTAATTTTAACCTGCGCTCCCTTCACTTTTTCCCTCAGAACAATTCATCTCTCCTCACCGAGCCAATCCTTAAAACGAGCCTTCAGGCCATACCATTAATTCCAGAGAAGAAGAATCATCTTCGGCGTTTTTTACAATCATAGAAGTGAGGGAGACGTCTCGTTTCGCGCGTATTAATATTTAATGCGAATCGTTCGCGCGCTCACATTTTCATTCGGGCCTGTCCCATATTGGCGCCATAACTCTTGCTCCAATCTGGACCTCCGTGCGCTCTTGTACCCACCGAGAGTCACCCCCCAGGACCCGACGTTTCCCTCTCACCACGTTCGACGTGAAATTGGGGATTTTATCGTGACGCTGTATTAACGAACTCCGGCGGACGAAGAACGAGCGTGGATTTAACGGGCGGATCAAGACGGCTATTCCCGCCGGGGAAGAAATTTAATATCGTTTCTGCTCACGTCTCGAAGCGATGAGTTTCGATAAGTGCGATATCCCCTTAACTTTCGACTACTCGAAAAAATGTTTTATGAGACGCATCCATCATGTGTATACACGTATCGAGGCCGGATCGGTTTAATCATCAGCACTGAACGATTGTTTCCTTTTTCACTGATGAATCTTTCCGTTTTGCTGAAATGAATATTTTATGAGTACGAATGAATGAATGGATACCGGACAGTCTTTTCTTTTTGACGTTAGCTCTTTTTGTTTTATTTATTACGTTAATAGAATGGTAAAAAACTCCAAAGTTTTGCTTTTTGAAATATTTGGACACAGTGCGCAGTTGCATCTCTTATTAAATATTTGACTTTGATAGACTAGTTTGACGTAAAATAAAATGATTGATTGAGATTGATTTCCTATAATTAATTAATTTTTTTCCGCATATTATTTTACGGCCGTATACAAAGCGGTAAACTTTAATTGACTTAAACGTTGCTATATCAAAATTGGAATTTGCATTATTTGTATTGTATGTTGCATTATTTATGTGCGTATCGACATATGTGAAGATATTTTCACAAATTATTACCGATCGGCTGTCACACGATGCGTTGCATCAATTAATTATGAACGAGATTCGCATTTTTTCCATGCTATTGTTCAATTACCGTAACTGCGTTAACATGACCGATAGTTTCCGCAGAGAACTAGGTCGATGATTGCGTCCCAATAAATATTGTCTATAACAAATCGCGTCGACTTCGAATACTTTAATTACTCGATCCATAAGCCTCATTTATTATCGTTAACGGGTATGTACGACCTGAAGCCATTAGTGTACAGTGCCACCTTTTTTCGGCTGGTATCCTTTTTTCGGCCACCTATCTCGCGCGTTGCCCGAGAAAATAATGTTTTCGATGGCTTAGATCGATACCGATCGTAAATTGCATTTTCAGATTAATATAGTGATAAGACACGTTGAATGTATTCTTATGAACGCAACAGTGATGACAGCCATCGAATACATTTGTCTGTTTCAAAATAAATGAGAAGGTTATTTTCATCCGTTGCACGTTACAAATTATCATACATTACACTAATTGTCTTCACTCACTATAATTTTGACTTTATCACATTGATATTTATAAACAAAGCGTATTAAATTTATGCTAATTTTATTTGAATATTCCGTACAGCTTTTGTAATCAATATAGCTTTTTATAGTATACAGACAAACATAACTTAATCGAATATCGTAGTTTAGCATATATCCCATTTGTTTATTATGTTATCAGACATGTCCCATTTCTGCATAACTCCGTTTGATTTACGTGCAGAAATTAATGATTCGTGTGCGCGCAGAAAGTGCCATTTTACGAAATTGCCAATAAATAATCCGGCACGATTTAGTCGGCCGGCATCGTTTATAATATTTTCCGACGTGCGCCATCAAAATAAATCACAGATTCACATCAAGATCGCAGTCAATCATGGGACAGACGTTTTCTGCATTTCCATTGAGTCGACTTTCCAGGGAAATCGTTTTATTTCCTAGCATGAGCTTCCTTCCCTTTACGCGGTACGATGCGACAGTTATTATTTATCTCAAGAACAAAGACCTGCTCCCTTTATTTTCTTTTGTTCCTTCCTCAACCATTTCAGAAGAATAGATCTTACCAGAGACAGACTATAATAATGAAGCGTTTGCTTCTTTGGTTTGCATCACGCTTAGTATGCCGACCATGAAAAACTAAAGATTATAATTGAAAACGTGCCGCGTTTTATCTTTATTTATCCTTTGTTACTCGATTTTATTTTTCTTTTAATGCAACAAGATAGCTGCATATCTCTTCAAATATAAATAAATTTATCGACGGTGATTTTATTTTGCATGCATTTAATCGTTTGTAATATATTTCTGTAATTTATTTTTTTCACGTGTATACCATTTGTATTATTACAATTAATATTATGTCGGTTTTGTTATTATATTATTGTAATTATTAACCCTCCGTCTGCAATGATATTTTTACTCCCTCCGTTCAGTTCAAGTTTTTTTTTACTGTTTTACGCTTTTAAAAAATATGGAAAAATTTATAGTTATTTTTCAATATTTTTAAACATTATATTATGTTTTTAGCAAGATATTTATAAAAAAAATTTTTAGCAATATATTTTAAAAGAGGGAATCGGACTTCTTTATTTTAGAGAAATTTAAGAGTGAAATTTTGTTTTTACAAAAAAAACCAGGGTTGCAAAGAGACAGAGGGTTAAATCATTATTACTTGTTAAAAATATCTATTGGAAATTATTTATATTTTAAATTAATTAAGAAAAAAAATCTCATATTATTAATTAATGATGTAATATGCCTCCAAATAATAATTATAATATATCATAAATAATAAAAGTATTTTATTCTGTATTGCAGATATGGAATCAGGGTGGATCCCTGGCAATGGTTTCTTTTCCTTAGCGGCAAGAATGATGGCGGCGAAGTATATCCTTCGTTGTTGCTGATCTGCTGTAAGTAAAACTGCCGATATGTCATTTTATATTCGTTCAACAGATCAGAAAGGAAACAAAGCTGTCAATGTTCGTGGCCTCGATTACAAAATGATCGACATTTATTGTAAGACTTTCGTCTATGTCGATATAAACGAAAGTATGTCAATTGGAAAAATATTGATAGCGCATCTTACAGTTTAACAGCGTGACTTGTGCCTTTCAAGACAGCTTTTTAAATTCTGTCACTGTTACAGAATATTTTAATAATGCTGAAAATTATTTTTACGATCGTAAAAAATGTACTAAGCAAAACAAGGTTAATTACCAAGTTACGAAGCAACAATAAAAACTGTAGAAATAGAAAATTATTTAAATTAAATATTAAGAAAATTGTCAAATTGTATCGCAATATGCATAGAAATTCGTATTATCCCATACGATATCTATTCATTGAGTATTTAAAATGAAAAGCTGACTGGCTCGCAATAGCTTTTCGCTGTAAAAATCTATAAAATCGAGCTCCATCAGTGAGAGAAGGAAAGCTATGCCAGACTCTAAATTCCGCTTTTATTGTCGCGGGTCGTGGTCGGTCCACGTTGATTCTCTAGTATCCGCGGTAATTCAATTTCATCATTTCCCAGTCATATTTTTTTTATTTAATCTATACGTAATATGAATATCCACCGATATTCTCGCTTTTAAGCTCAGCTATAATGACTCATATAACTTTACCGCTAAGGATAAAAGAAACGGGAACAATACAAAACGTCGAGAAAATAATGAATAATAGTTTGAGAATTCAAAGTCAAACTCTATCTTCTCTTGGCAGCTGACCATAGATAACGTTCAAGCAGAAATATAAAAGTTAATAAAAAAAAGAATAGGGAGAATGCGTTAAAATGGTTCGGAGCGAAATGAAGAGAGGAGTGCACGGGGTAACGTCGGTGGTGCTGATACGAGATGGGAGGGAAAATGAAGTCTGTTTCTGTCTGGCAATTCAGCCCCTGTTTTAGTTATCTCGTTATGACTCGCGTATTGCAAAATTACAAAAAGGTGAAAACAATTTGGCGAGGTAATTCCCCATCTCCCAGGGATTCATCGATTCTGAATGTTTCTCTAGATGTTTATTTCAGTTGCTTATTTCAAGGAGTATTCGAGTGTTTTTGTAATGCAGAAGTACAATTTGCTTCTGTTATATAATGCTGGAAGAACTAACGCAGACGAATCTTTTTCGTAATTTTATTTTCTGATTCTAAGTTGGAACAAACATGAGTAAGATGACCATCTTACTTAAGTTTACCCTATATAATGTACTTGCGGAAATTATCACGTTTTGTTCAAAGATTCCAATATCTAATACGTATGTTTTTTTCTATTTCGTCAAATATTTTATACTACTATTATATATAGCAATAGTAAGTTTATATTTAATTAAGTTAAATATAAATATACATATAAGAAAAATGTTCGTGAAGTTAATATTTTTATTGACATTTAGATTTTATATTTTTCACAGGTCATTAACAATATCGCACAACGTTCATTGTGAGTAGAATTTCAATATCATTCTCAGTAGAATTCAAGCTCGTTAGCTTTTGTGACGTAATGTTTTTAGTCTAGACTTTTTAAAGTGGGTCAAAATTCAACGAGTCTCGCGTGAAGCATAAATTTTAAGGCACGCAAGGCATCGTTCCTTTAAATAGCGAACATATTCTTCGCGTATTGTCCCCTTAGTGCCGCGCAGTGTGCTCGCTTGTTGCGTTTTCATCCGAGGTTGCAACGCCATAACTTACATACGTGCAACAGTCGCGTACGTGCAGTTTTAAATGCGGATTGCACGCACAATGGTTGCAAATCAGCAGCTACAACAGGAAGAAAGATCATGAAAAGATTCTGAAATATTAATAATGCGAAATAAAAAAAGTTGTAATAACGTAGGTATCTTTCTTTTTGATGAACTATATAAACATCTTTTAAAAGTTATTCACAAGAATTATTTATCTTATTTATTATAATATATCTACGAGTTATATATTTCGAGTTAAAGAGTTATTTTATTGTACTATCAAATAATTTTTCATCGTCATATTATTATTACAGTATTAAAAATATAATATTTGATTTTCTATATTCATATCATTTTACACAAAAAAGTAATGAATAATGTTTATAAAAATAGTATTATTTTTCCTTTGATCCCTTTGACGTTAAAATCGATTCTATCTGGAGGAATTACTCTTTTAGTCTTGAAGTCATTTTAAAAGAGATTCTTGTATAATTTCCATATAGTTATAGTTTTCCTAAGTCTCAATCCCCAGTGCAGATTGAACGCTGGCGGCTTACGTCGACTAAGCCGCTATGGAAGGTTGCATCATTTACACATAAGGGAGCGTAATACTCATGGGAAACTACGGCTAATAGTTCCCATATTTTAGAATCTGCGTCGAGCGCCGTCGCTCCTACCAACGGTAAATTCGTTTCCTTTTTATATAATCAACCCGACCTTATTTCTGCCTACCCTCTACGGAGAGCCGGATAGAATATGTTTCGTTACCCCTATTTTGTGCGACCTTTCTCATAATAATTTTCATAGCGAGCTAGCCTAAATTACCTTTTAAAAATACAAGGCTTCTCGCAATGGCCGTTTAGTTATTAAAATATTAATTTCGAGTATCAGATATTCGCCCAGCTAGATCCATTATATAGAAAAAAAATAAATTTTTTTATTCGCATCTGTTCTATGGATCTATCTCTCTTTACTTCGGCATTATTAAAACTTTAGTCGCGTTATTTATAACGGAAACGCGTTAAATAACTGTTTGAACGGATTTCGATAAATGGCTACAAAAAAATGTCGGATTCGAGAACAATATGCTCAATTAAAATTTTGTTGCGGATATTTTTCGACAATTAATGCAGAAACACTGGACTAATAAAGCGTGCGTAGGTTTTTATAAACATGAAGAGTATTTATAAGGTTTATTTTCTGTAGTTGTAAACAAATGGTTGGAGATTATTAGAACTTAAAGTGAGGTAAATATATGTTTGATATTTGGAGAAAGCGAGAAAGAGAATTCTAATTCAGTGTAGGAATAAAAAACCTGTAGTTTTTCATTTACGTGTTTATTTACCAGATGCAGTATTTGATTTGTTCGATCAATATTTTGTGATTATTATTATATTAATATCTTTTAACATATTTAATATGTATTTAATATGTATTTAATATGTATTATTAAGGTAAAAACGAAAGCGAATATGAAATCATTATTCATTATCGGAATTATTAATCCATCTATCTGTTTCGCATTTCATTTTTCAGTAAAAACAGATTTATGAGTTGATTTGATTATAACTGGATCTTATATAGTGAAAATATTAAAATAAACTTTCTTAGTGATCATTTATGCAGATTTGCTCCAATTTCGAACAGATTATAGATGACGGATGCAGGTCATATGTTTTGAAATAAGAACGCTTTGATTTAACAATGGCAAGATCGAGAATAAAGACTAAAAAAGATCTGGATAAATATATCGTTTCACTTTTTGCTCTTCGGGTTTTCGTTCCCAGGGTTTCCAGGGTAAGGAAATGGACCTTGCCAGGGAACCGTGTATGCGGCTGTCCGTTCGGTGGTTTTCCGGAAGTTCCGGGACGGGAAGTTCTAGGGTAACTTAAAGTTAACTATAACTCAATGCTCGTAGCCCTTACGCTGTATAACGAGTCCGGGACTAAATGTGAAAGGGTACGCCGACCGGCGACCACCAACCATCTAGCCAACCGCCATGATAGCTCACTGGGTTTCTCATAACGTCTGCAACACTGTCGGCGCCCAGCCGCAGTGTATCTTACTCTCTGTTCGCCGAGTGTTAAGACCGAATCCAGCGAGATTTGCATGCCGTGCCTGTGAATTTCGCACGCCGAGCGCTAAAACAACCACGCTGAGGTAAAGCAATTAACGATGTCCACCGTAGCTGTCAATCCCCCTGTGTCGCACGTTGTAATGGCACATTTCGCGAAAGAATATCTATTATCGAAATACCTACGTATAATAATCTCGTCGCTTTAGATTACGGTTACAATTAGATATAATATTTTTCATGGATAAACCGCGTTAAATTGTTGGAGAATATTACTCAGGAACTCTGCTACATTTACGTAAAATGAATATTTTGACGATTCTTTTTGTTTTCTTCTTTAGCTTCCCCTTTTAGTTTTCTCTCGGAATAATTGGTTCGCATGTCGTTTTACGCAGACGGTTTTAAGCGAGTTTTGCATTCAGTTTAATATTCGAAACAATTATCACTTTTTCCTCATCTCTTATCCAAACCGCTATCAAAATTGCGCAAGAATGAATTTCACGAGAGGTGAAATTTTAAAAGGACCGACGCGACTGCGAACTAGGCGTTGGAATGAGAGAATTGGCGCGATAGAGATCGCTTTCGCGTTAATTTCGAAAGGCGAGTTTCCGGGCCAAGTTTTCACGTCGGGCGTGATGTTGTACGTTTCGTCGTTCGCGCTGGTCATTAAAGCGCAGAATGGGGAAAGGAGCAACGGGTCGTCGTATGAATTACTTAATCCGCGCACGAGCAGCACGGCGTGCAAGTAATCGAATCAAATGTGAAATCGCCCTCACGAAATCCCTCCGCACGCACTCCCTATCTGTGCATCCCTCCCGTTTATTACCTATGTGCTCGGCCTAGCTAAACGTAGACTTATTATAAGTGCGCATCGACCGAACTATTATGGACCTTTTTCTATCTCTCCACCCGTGCATTTCTGATTAAAGATCTGGCGGTTTGGCGTATCATTATCTTTCCGCATGATTTTCTTTTTCTCGTTACAAAAATCAATATAGGAAGATGCATCGATATATGGAATATAATGTACTATCAATGCATGCACAAAATATTTCGCTGGAAGTTATTTGAGGCTGAAAATTTTGCATACGTTATAAAGAAAAAATACGTACACACGGAGAGAACGGTTTTGCTAAAGTATCCAAGAATTTAGCTAGA